AAAAAAAAAAGAGAATATAAGAGGCTGGTTGGGAGCTAGGGGAAAGATGAAGTCAATTTAGGACATATTGAGACTGAGATGCCCAAGAATACCTGGAGATAGATATCTGCAGAACAGTTCTCCAGATGGCCTTGAACTGATCCAGTTCTACTTTTCTCACTTATAGTTCTCAAAACTAACTGTAGAATGTAACGGGAATACATAAGGAGGAATTGGCCAGAACAATTTAAGCTCTGTTACAGCTCCCTTAAAAACAGAATGTCCTCCCAGCTACTCGGGAGGCTGAGGCAAGAGAATTGCCTAAACCCAAGAGCTGGAGGTTGCTGTGAGCTGTGTGACGCTACAGCACTCTACCAAGGGCGACAAAGTGAGACTCTGTCTCTAAAAAAAAAAAAAAACCCAGAATGTCCTACAGTGCTTTAGATCAGCAGCATGTCATGTTGCCTCAGGGTATAAAACCCAGGGTAGGCTGCTAGGGTGTGTGTGTGTGTGCGTGTGTCTCATAGTTGTGGTGCAAGTTTGCATGCATAGATTAGACTCTATCTGCTGCCCATTACAGCTTTCCTGAGCTTTGGAGGACAACGTCCTCATGAATCCCAAGCTTCTGTTGTCCCTTGCTGTCTATCTGTAAGTAATAAATAGGCTTCACATAACTTGTATATGGGATTGTTCTCCAAATGCAGCCAGTTCAGTGGCTGGACATGACAACCAGGGCACAGTGAACCTGCTTTGCAGTATCCATCAGGCTATAGGATATTGGAATATGCTGTTAGGTAGAGAAGTCTGAACCAAAAATACAGAATTTATTCATTATTTATTTATTTATTTATTTATTGAGACAGAGCCTCAAGCTGTCGCTCTGGGTAGAGTGCCGTGGCATCACAGCTCACAGAAACCTCCAACTCTTGGATTTAAGGGATTCTCCTGCCTCAGCTTCCCAAGTAGCTGGGACTACAGGTGCCCACCACAATGCTCAGCTATTTTAGTTGTCACTGTTGTTTGGCAGGCCTGGGCTGGATTTGAACCCACCAGCTCTGGTGTATGTGGCGGCACCTTAGCCACTTGAGCTACAGAGTGTTGAGCCAGAAATACAGAATTTAAAGTTAGATTATAAACGATGATAATGTCAGGAGATTTGTGAATTTTTTTTTTTTTTTTATTGAGACAGAGTCTCACAACGTTGCCCTTGGTAGAGTGCTGTGGCATCACAACTCACAGCAACCTCAAACTCTTGGGCTTAAGCTATTCTCTTGCCTGAACCTCCCAAGTAGCTGGGACTACAGGTGCCCACCACAACACCTGTCTATTTTTTTTGTTGTAGTTGTCATTATCGTTTTAGCAGGCCCAGGCTGGTTTGAACCTGCCAGTCCCAGTGCATGTGTCTGGTGCCTTAACCCCTCAGCTACGGGCGCTGAGCCATAAGAAATATTTTTAAATAGTCAAAAGAGTTTACTAGGTGGATGTTCTATGGAATTCTGGGCATTTAAAAAAGGCCTCTGGGGGACAATGGCAGTGGCTCATGCCTGTAATCCTAGCACTCTGGGAGGCCTGAGGTGGGTGGATTGCCTAAATTCACAGGTTCCAGACCAGCCTGAGCCAAAATAAGACCCCGCCTCTAAAATTAGCAGGGCATTGTGTCAGCTGCCTGTGGTCCCAGTTACTGGTAGGCTGAGGCAAGAGAATAACTTGAGCCCAAGAGCTTCAGGTTGTTGTGAGCTATGCCTCAGCACTCTACTGAGGGTGACAGAGTGCGACTCTATCTCAAAAAATAAAATAAATTTAAAAAGACTCCTGGGGCTATCTGACTGTAATTTGTGTGTTCCTTTGTCTTTGAGTATGCTATTTTACAACTCTGTAGAGACAGAAATTAATTAGCAGAAAACTGATACTAATGTAAATGTTTCTGGCCTATAACAATGCAAATTATTACTGTCCACATCAAAGCAAATGAATTTTGTGCAGTACAGAATATAAGGCTCAATAGGTCAAATTTTTCTCAGAAACATTTGAACATTCCCACTGGTTATAGGGATTAACAGGTGAGCAATAAATGAGATAAGTAAAATCTTGGCACATGTTCTGTTTTTTTGAGACAGAGCCTCGCGCTGTCCCCCTAGATAGAGTGCTGTGGCATCACAGCTCACAGCCACCTCCAACTCCTGGGCTCAAGCGAGTCTCCTGCCTCAGCCTCCCAAGAAGCTGGGACTACAGGCACCTGCCACAATGCCCAGCTACTTTTTGGTTGCAGCCATCATTGGTGTTTGGCGGGCTGGGGCTGGATTTGAACCCTCCACCCTAGGTGTATTTGGTTGGTGCCTTAGCCACTCGAGCCACAGGCGCTGAGCCACATGTTCTTTTTATATTTGCTTGACGGCCATAATTTTACCTTTTCTTTTTTTTTTTTTTTTTTTTTGGCGGGCCCGGGCTGGATTCGAACCTGCCA